TGTGAGATAATAACAAATGGTTTGCTAACAAGCTTCCTCCAATTTATACTCTCCTAGTGATAGCTGATAATTCCTGTTGTTCTGCACCCTTACCAAATGACATGACATGATCAGGATGAAAATGTTTATACCAACAGGAGAAACATTTGTAACAAAAATTAATTAATTAATAAAAAAAAGAAAGAAAAAGGCGATGGGGCTGCGCGGCAGGAGCACTGGGTAGGGCCGGGGCGGGCCGGGGCGGGGGTGGGGGGTGGGGGAGGGCTCCCCCGGAAGGCCCCGGGCCCAGCGGCGGCGCGCAGGGCGGCAGCATCCACTCGGGCTGCATCGCCCCGGTACACAATGTGTCGCTGAACGTGCTCATCTGGCCGCTACCATCTGTTCTGGACCCGGCCAAGGTGCAGAGCTCGTGGACACGATCCGGGAGGACCCAGACAGCGTGCCCCCCATCGATGTCCTCTGGGTCAAAGGAGCCCAGGGTGGTGACTACTTCTACTCCTTTGGGGGCTGCCACCGTTATGCGGCCTACCAGCAGCTACAGCGAGAGACCATCCCCGCCAAGCTTGTCCAGTCCACCATCTCAGACCTAAGGGTGTACTTGGGTGCTTCCACCCGGACTTGCAATAGCAGGCTCCTTGGCACCTGCCACCACTCCTAAAATCCCAGAAGACACCTGGCTTCCGGCAGACTGGGCCATGCAGAAGGTGTAGCAGGGGAGCATTCTCTTTGCTCCTGGAGGGAGGAGGGTCTGATTCTAGGCTGGCTCTTTGCTAGCAGCAAGACGTTGGACCCCCTACTGAACAGTGAGGGAGGCCCATTTCCCACCACTGTGAAAGTGGGTCATGTATTTGCTTTTGAGGGGTTATTGAGAGGACGAAATGAGAAAGGAGATGGGCTTGGAGAACCGCATGCTACTGGCTTCAGATTCCCAGGAACAAGGATCCTTCAGCATTTTTGTCTTTGTATATCCTATTATATGGAATACAGTTAGCTGTAAGTAAAGGAAAACCTAGATTAACAAAGAAGAAAAAGAAAAAGAAAGTAAATGTTTATACCTATCTGCTAGGTGAGAATCGTCTCGTTTTAATTTACATTTTTTATTTCATGATTTGAAGTGTAATGGAAGAGAGGTTGTTGATTATGGCGCTGTGATCTGTATCTCCAAAGGCAGCTGGATTTGGGAAGTGCCCCGAACTCTGTTTGCCGTGGGGAAGGACAGCAGGCAGGAGAGGAAGGAGGGAGGTGGCCTCATGGCAGGGCTTCTTGCAGACTGAGGCAATCCATCCTGCCTTCTTTCCAGCATATCACCCACCAGTCTCTCAGGACTTTCCGAGTCCACGCCTTTCACTGGAATGAGGTCAGTGGAATGCCTGGAACCCAAGGAGTGACCGCATGGGTTTGTGGGGCAAGCGCACCAGCCTCCCGTGAGCAATGAGGGCGCCTCACTGGCCCAGACTGTCTGGAAGGAAGAAAATTCCAACCCAACTTCACATTTTCTGTGTGAATCAAATTGGGAGGAATCTTTAGCCGGAGGCTTTGGGGTGGGGCAGGAGGGATCATATTTTCACTTATCACCAGAAGATCCTAAACTAACTTCACTCCTGGGAGCACATGTGCCTTAAGGCTTCTCTTCCTGAACTGAGGCAGTGTGGAGAAGAATGGAAATTTCCACCCGGATTCCCACTCCCACCTGGGTGACCTTGGGTGGGTAACATCACCTCTCTGAGCACTGGTTGGCTCTTTGTCAGTAGGGGGCCATGTTCAGTCTATGTCTGTTGATTCATTTTTATTTTTTTTATCCTCGCCCGAGGACATTTTTTCATTTATCTTTAGACAGATTAGGAGGGAAGGAGAGAGAGAAGAGAGAAACATCGATATGAGAGAGACACATTGACTGGTTGCCTCCTGTGCGACCCTGACCAGGGTCAGGGATGAACGGCAACCAAGGTACGTGCCCTTGGCTGGAATCGAACCTGGGTCTCATTGGTCCTCAGACCGACGCTCTAACCCCTGAGAAAACTGGCCAGGGCTGTTGATTCATTTTTAAACCTTAATAAGCCAAATCTGTAATGTGGTAGCTTCCCTCCCACTCCCCCAAATTGTGGGTGTTTCTTTTCTTTTCTTTTTTCAAATTTATTTTTGTTTTTATTTTGTTAATCCTTACTTGAAATCTGAGATTCAGAAAGGGTACAGGACTTGCCCAAGGACATACAGGAAGGCTGGGGTAGAACAGGGATTGGAACCTGGATTGTCTCAGTGGTCTAAGCCAAACTCTCCCGGAGCCTTGCTGCCTCCCACCCCTGGCCCCAGCCACCTCCTGGGCCTTATCTCCTATCCCACCTCTGATCTTTGAACTCCAGCCAGCTGGTCTCTGCTGTCCTCTGTCTGTGCTTTGCACTTTCTGACCTCTAGGCCTTTGCTCTTCCCTCTTAACTTGGACTATTGAAACCCTTGTCCTTAAGGTAGCCAACCAGTGGAACAATATGCAACCCTTAAGAATGATGTTGTGTGTAGCTCTGGCCGGTTTGGCTCAGCGGTTAGAGCGTCGGCCTGCGGTCCGGAGAGACCCAGGTTCGGTTCCCACTAAGGGCATGTACCTCAGTTGCAGCTTGTCCCCAGCCCTGGTTGGGTTGTGCGGGTGGCAACCACTTGATGTATCCCTTTCACGTCGATGTTTCTCTCTCTCTCTTCCTCCCACTCTATCCAAACAAAAAAATGTCCTTGGGTGAGGATAAAATAAATAAATAAAATAAAGGAAAGAGTTTTAAAAAAAAGAATGATGTTGTGGCCCTGGCCGGTTTGGCTCAGTGGTAGAGCATCCGCCCGAGGACCAATGAATCTTGGGATCGATTCTGGCCGAGAGCATGTACCTCGGTTGCGGTTCGTCCCTGGCCCTGTCAGGATTGTGCGGGAGGCAACCAGTTGATGTGTCTCTCTCAGGTCGATGTTTTTCTCTCTCTTTCTCCCTCTATCTCCCTCCCACTCTATCTGCAGATAAATGGAAAAATATCCTCGGGTGAGGATTAAAAAAAAAGAATGATGTTGTGGGGGTGATTAATAGAATATTGTTCAAAATATATTAAGTTAAAAAACAAACTACAAAACAAATTCATACATAATTATAATGATCACATTTTTAAATGTATATATACATATTCTGTCTTGCCAGCTCCATTCTGAGGTCCAACATGTCTTCTCTGGGTTGTGAATGCTCCCAGGGCAGAACCTGTTTGCTAAATTGACCTGGAAGAAATTAAGTCAATTATAGGGATTTCTGGTGGAGTTGTAGCATTCCACACAGGCAGGGAGGACACACTAGGGGTGTGGATGGGGGTAAGGGGTCTCGGCATTCCTCTTACCAACCCTACACACCCAGGCTCCATGGACTTCAGCTGGGGTCATGCCAGAGATAGGCCTGCACTGACTGCCCTCTGGTTTGCCTCCCTCTGATCAGCAATACCAAGGTCCCCATGCCCCAAGAGCCCCAGGGCTTCCGATGTCCCAAAGACCGAAACCCACATTCAAGGCCAGAGAGGAAAAGAAAGTGAGTCTTCAGGTTTTTCTTGTTACTAAATTTCCAGTTTCCACTTGGAAAGCCAAATGTATTTTCTTTTTTCTTTATTGATTTTAGAGAAAGAGAGGAAGGGCGATGGAGAGAGAGATAGGAACATCGATGAGAGAGAACATCGATTAGTCGCCTTCTGCATGCACCCCATTGGAGATTTGGCCCACAACCTGGGCATGTGCCCTGACTGGGAATTGAACCACCGACCTCTTGCTGCAGGGTCGATGTTCAACCACTGAGCCATACCAGCCAGGCCCAAATGTATTTTCTGAATTTGAACTTTCATCAGGAAAAATGCTCAAGGTTTCACTTCTTTGCTTAACAAAAAGGTGTTCTGTTTTTGCTTTTTGGGAAGATGGGGGTAAGAGACAAGCATGCTTACTCTAGGAAATTTGGAAATTTCATATGAATAGAAGGAAAGTCACTTCCTCTACCAATTTCTAGAGAAATACATCGTAATTTGGTATCTTTCCTGGCCACGCCCCCCCTTTTTTCTGTGCAGTTACTTTGTTTATTTTCCACTGAATAAATAGAAGGATTTCTGATTCATAATTTACAGAGCTGATTCCATTTACTTGTAACAAGCCTGTGATGCTTCCAACAGCTATGATACTTTGCCCCATCTGGGAATTGGGGGGGTGGGGCGCATTGCCCTCGCCCATATTCTCCTGTCACTTGGGGGAACGCCCCTTCCGCTGCACCACTGCCAGCACTAAGCAGTATTCTTTTCATCTTACAGTTCATCTCAAGTGTCCAAATTGTCCTTCTAGAACATAACTCTCTACTTTTTTTCTTTTTAAACCCCCAGAACTCCGAACATGTGCCCTGCTCCATGAACTCACAGTGATCCGTTTGTTTTGCCTTCTCCCAGCTCATACATTCTTCGAGTCTTGGTAACTGGAATGTTTTGTCTGTTCAGGCTCAAAACGATCAGTGGGACAGGAACCAAAGTTAAGTACCTCATGATGTGTCAAGATGAAACTGGGAAAACTGGGAGCTGTTGACTGGACTTCCTCTCTGAATCAGCTGGTGTTTCTTTTCATCTTTAGTTTTAAAAGCTCCCCAGAGGCAACCTGAAATCCCCAATGGACTCAGAATAGGATGGGGGAAATTCTGAAGTTCCCATTCAACACATTTATCTCACAGCTTCGGAAGGAGCCAAAATGCCAAAGGCAAGAATCCCAGAGCATTGCCTACACTGGTGTGATATCCTGATAAATGTCTAACAAATTCAGCATGTGTCCAGTGGGCTTGCCCATTTGCCGGGCAAAGTTCCAGACAAGTGAGAGACATCCTGGGGTTCATCTGGTTCAGGAAAGATCTTTAATTACCAGCTAGTGTTCTTTAAATAGTCAAGTCTTGAGGTCTTTCCACCGCAGTCTGTTCTGATGAATGGCCTCACCAATGCGGAACAGGATGACCTTGTTCTGTGGGCAAGACAACTGTGAAAGAAGAAGCTGTGTGTGTCGAAGTCTGTGGGAAGAGACAGCCACCTAGAATGTCCCCGCCAAACCAGTCAGTGGAAGGCCTTCTCCAGGAGGCCTCCAACAGATCTCTGAATGCTACAGAAGCTTGGGACCCAGGGACTCGCCAAGCCCTCCAGATTTCTCTTGCTGTGGTTCTTGCCATCATCACACTGGCCACAGTCCTTTCCAACGCCTTTGTGCTTACCACCATCTTCCTCACCAGGAAGCTCCACACCCCAGCCAACTATCTCATTGGCTCCCTGGCCATGACTGACCTCTTGGTTTCCATCTTGGTCATGCCCATCAGCATCGCATATACTACCACCCGCACCTGGAACTTTGGCCAAATCCTGTGTGACATCTGGCTGTCTTCTGACATCACATGCTGCACAGCCTCTATCCTGCATCTGTGTGTCATTGCTCTGGACAGGTACTGGGCCATCACTGACGCCCTGGAGTACAGTAAACGCCGCACAGCAGGCCACGCCGCGGCCATGATCGCCATCGTCTGGGCCATCTCCATCTGCATCTCCATCCCACCCCTCTTCTGGCGGCAGGCCAAAGCTCACGAAGAGATGTCGGACTGTCAGGTGAACACTTCTCAGATCTCCTACACCATCTACTCCACCTGTGGGGCCTTCTACATCCCATCTGTGCTGCTCATCATCCTCTACGGCCGGATCTACATGGCCGCCCGGAACCGCATCCTGAACCCACCATCGCTCTACGGGAAGCGCTTCACCACAGCCCAGCTCATCACAGGCTCCGCGGGGTCCTCCCTCTGCTCTCTCAACCCTAGCCTCCACGAGGCGCACACTCATTTGGCGGGCTCTGCCCTCTTTTTCAACCACGTGAAGATCAAGCTTGCGGACAGTGTCCTGGAGCGCAAAAGGATCTCCGCTGCGCGAGAAAGGAAAGCCACCAAAACCCTGGGGGTCATTCTGGGGGCCTTCATCATCTGCTGGCTGCCCTTCTTTGTTGCATCTTTGGTCCTCCCCATCTGCCGGGACTCCTGCTGGATCCACCCGGCCCTTTTCGACTTCTTCACCTGGCTGGGTTATTTAAACTCCCTCATCAATCCAATAATCTACACTGTGTTCAACGAAGAGTTTCGACAAGCATTTCAGAAAGTTGTCCATTTCCGGAAAGCCTCCTAGTCTTCTTTGGCAGTAATTCTTGTCATCTTTTGTGTCCCGTAACCCCACCGGAATTGTCTTTTTTTTATTTTTCCTGAGATTTGGGTTAATCCTGATATTTTGGGTTTGGGTCCAATCAATAGAATTGTTCGGTGTTCTTTTTCCTGTTGTCTTCTTGACTTCTGAGCCACCAAAAGCTGGGAAGCTGCGTGAAAGGGGACACAGACTGAAGATATCACTTAGCATAATATTTTCAGGGTTCATCCGTGTTGGAAGAAACATTACCCACGGGGTTTCCCATCGACGTAACTCAGGTGGAAAACTGTCTGACTCTGTGGGAAGACCTAGGCTCAGAAGAGGGTTTTTCCGGTCTACCTAAATTTTGTATGGAACTCAGAGGGGGGTAGATGAGATTAATGACCTGAGTTGAAAGAACTTGGAGTCAGGAAAGGGGTGGGGAGTCTCCATTCCATGTGGCACCTTGATTGGAAAATAACACCCAGGGTTTTAGTTCATCCTCTGATTCCTCCTTAGATTGAATCTCTCTCAGTTGTTCATTTGAGGTGACAACAATATAGAGTGACAGAGAGATTCAGAAGCTGGGTGCAAGAGAATGGAATATTTGGAACCAGATCAACTACCCTGTGCCCTTCCTCCTTCTCCAGTATCTCTGCACCCTCTTAATGTTCTGAAGCTGAAACCCACACTCACCCCCACTGAAGTAGGTTGACAGGCTTTGGACCCACCAAGCTTTGAGGGGAACACCATTCTGATTTTCTTTCTTCCTGAAGTTTTACATCCCATTCTCGTTAGAGATCTTAAGATGTTGAGTCTTGTCAAATAAAAAGCATGAGACAACATGACCAGTAAAGTCTTTGAGAAATGTTTCCCTTTCCCCCTGGATGCAGAAACCCTTCAATTCAAATTTGTCTCCAGCACTTATTGAGCACCTACCACATGCCAGGCCCTGTGCCCGAGTCCTGGCATTTGTTATCATATTGGAACCTCATAACGATGAAAGTCAGTATAACATGATGATTAGAGTTAAGGACCTGATGCCTCAGTTGAAATCCAAGTAATACAATTTCTAGCTGGATAACTTTGGGCAAGTTTCTTTTATTTATTTATTTATTTATTTATTTATTTATTTTTTATCATCCTCACCCGAGGACATTTTTCCATTCTTTGTTCAGATAGAGTGGGAGGGAGAGAGGAACAGAGAGAGAGAGAAACATCGACGTGAAAGGACACATCGAGTGGTTGCCACCCACACAACCAACCAGGGCCGGGGACAAACTGCAACCGAGGTACATGCCCTTAGCGGGAACCGAACCCGGGTCTCTCCGGACCGCAGGCCGATGCTCTAACCGATGCTTGCCCGGAGCCAAACCGGCCAGGGCAAGTTTCTTTTATTTTTAATCCTCACCTGAGGATATTTTTTCTTTTTTCTTTTTTTTGTTCAGATAGAGAGGAAGGGAGGGAGAGAGAGAGAGAAACATCGACATGAGAGAGACATATCGACTGGTTGCCTCCCACACAACCCCAAACAAGGCCAGGGATGAACTGCAACTGAGGTACATGCCCTTGACCGATTGGAACCCGCTTCTCTTTGGTCTGTGGGCCAACACTCCAATGGCTGAGCCAAACTGGCCAGGGCTTGGACAAGTTTCTTAGCCCCTCTTTGCCTCACTTTCCTCAACTGTAAAATGACAATAATATTAGGTATGTTATTGTATGTTTTAATACAGTTCTTGGCATAAGAGCTCTTACCATTTTTATTTATTTACTTGTTAATCCTCTACTGAGGATATTTTTGCATTGATTTTTAGATAGAGTAGAAGGGAGACATCCACGTGAGAGAGATGCATCCCCCCCCATGGGGGCCAGGGATCAAACTTCGACTCTCCAGTCCTAAGGCCAAGGGTCTAACCGCTGAGCCAAACCAGCCAGTGCCAGCTCTTACCATTTTAGAGATACAGTAACTGACCTGCCCAGGGCCAAGCAATATAAAAATAATAGCTACTATTTACTGAGTGCCTGCCATACTTCTTGCCTACAGATGCTCATTTGCTCTTCATCCTCATTTTACAGATGTGCTAAGAAAAGCTGCCTGTTGTTAGGGAAGGTTTCATAAAGAAGTGATACTTGCCTTGGCCAGTTTGGCTCAGCGGTTACAGCGTCGGCCCGCGGACCGGAGAGTCCCAGGTTCCATTCCCGCTAAGGGCACGTACCTCAGTTGTAGTTTGTCCCGGGCCCCAGTTGGGGTCACGTGGGTGGAACCACTCGATGTTTCTCTCTCTCTCTTCCTCCCCCTCTCCCTCCTGCTCTATCTGGAGATAAATGCAAAAAGTCCTCAGGTGAGGATAAAAAAAAAAAAGAAGTGATACTTCAGCAGACACCCAAAAGATGAGCCCTTGGGAAGGGGAAGTGTGAGGAGGCCTCTTGAGGGAGATGGGGCAGAGCAAAGGAAGGTAGGAAAGGTCACACCAGGGAGAGAAAAGAACAGGAACAGAGCTCAGCAGGCCCGAAATGCTTAGAGGGGATCTCTGGGCACAGGGAGACGGAGCGCCAGGAACCTGGACTCTCAGGAAGCATGGAAAAAGAGGACTGCTAAGATTTGGGGGGGCACCCCGAAGAGTCTTGTGCTGACCTTGAAGTTTCTGCAGGACATCTCAGTGGTTCCCGGGCCGTCCGCATTAGACTCTCCCAGGGAGTTTGTTCGTATTGTGTTTCTAGTCCCCAACTCAGACCCACTAAATCAAAATCTCTGCCAAGAGGCCCAGGAATCTGCATTTTATATAAGCCTTCCTCCCATTTCCTGCATTAGGTAATGTCTCTGCCTCTAAAATTTGGGAAGCACTCTGTGAGAGGCTTGCTCCCCCTGTGAGGCCCCCTCCTGAGCCCAGAGACACCTCTCAGCATCTCCGCGCTCTCCTCGCACCTGGCCTGCTCTTTCCTACGGTCCTTTGAGGCCGTGCTCTTCCCCACCTCCGGCTTGCGTAGGCCCTCTTCCTGGTCTGGGAAAGATCAGTAATTAAGAGACTGGAAAGCACCCAGCGATGTGGCTCAGTGGCTGAGCGTCGACCCCTGCACCAAGAGGTCACGGTTTGATTTCCGGTCAGGGCGCATGCCCAGGTTGTGGGCCAGATCCCCAGTGGGGGGTGTGCAGGAGGCAGTCAATCGATGTTCTCTCTCATCAGTGTTTCTATCTCTCTCTCCCTCTTCCTCTCTCTCTAAAATCAATAAAGAAAAAAAAAAAGAGAGAGACTGGAAAGTGAACCATGTTCAAATGTGTTTCTCAGTGGTTAAGGGCATAGGCCTTGAAGTCGAACACCGGGAATTGGATCCCAGTTCTCTCATTTATCAGCTGTGTGGCTTGAAGCAAGTCACCTAACCTCTCTGTGCTCCCGTTTCTTCATCTGTTAAATGGGGTTGTCCGTAATCAAGCCTTACAATTTTTGTGAGGATTAAATGAGGTAGTGATTATAAAATGCCTCACACAGTGCCTGGCACTTAAGTGTTCAGTAAAACGCCAGCTGTTGCTGTTTGAGAACTTTGAGCCAATTACAAAGGAAGCTCAAATGCCACCTCCCTAGAGGCCTTCCCTGACTATAGCAAAGGTTGGTAAACCTTTTAAAACAAACTTTATTGAGATATAATTCATACGCCATACAATTCACCCGTTGTAAGTATGCAGTCCAATGCCTTTTATTCTTCAGAGTCGGGTCAGTCCCCAGAATCAGATTTCATCACTGCAAAAAGAAACGCTGCACCCTGTCCCCATCCCCCCCGCTCCCTAGCCCTGGGCAATCACTAATCTGTTTTGTCTCTATGAATTTGCCTATTCTCGATATTTCTTACAAATGGAATCATACAATATGGGGTCCTTCTTGGCTTCTTTCATGTAGCACCATGTTTTCACATTATGTCTTCTTGACTTCTGAGCCACCAAAAGCTGGGAAGGGGACAAAGACGAAAGACTTCACTTAGCATAATATTCAGGGTTCATTCGTATTGGGAGAAACATGGCCCACAGGGTTCCCCACTGATATAATTCAGATGGGGTCCATATTGTAGCATATAGCACTATTACATTTCTTTTTATTGCTAGACAATATTCTGTTGTATGGCTATACCACATTTTATTCATTCATTCATATGTAGATGGGCGTTTGGGTTTTTCTACTCTTGGGCTATTATGAATAATGTTGTGAACATTCTTGTACAAGTTTTTGTGTGAACATATGTTTTTATTTCTCTTGGGTACGTACTTAGGAATGGACTTGCTGGGCCATTTGGAAATTTATATTTACCCTTTTGAGGGACTGCCAGACTGTGTTCCAAAGTGACTGCGCCCTTTTACATTTCCATTCCAATTTGTCCATATCCTCGCCAGTCCTCGTTACTGTCTTTTTGATTATAGCCATTCTAGTGGGTATGAAATAGTATCTCATTGTGACAGCAGACTTTTGTTTAAGGGCCAGAAGGTAAATATTTTCTGCTTTGCGGGTCCTATCGTATCTCTGTTGTACCTACTCAACGGCGCCACCGTAGCATGAAAGCAGCCATAGGCAGTATGGAAATAAATGAACTTGGCTGTATGTCGACGAAATTTTATTTACTAAAATAGATGGCAGCTTGCAGGCTGTAATTTGCAGACCTCTAATCTAGAGGAGCCACCCCCCCCATCTACTTAGTCATTCTCTATCCCCTTCTCTGGCTTTATTTTTATGATATTTTTATTGATATTCATGATATTTATGATGATGATATATATCTATTAGTTCTTGGTTATTGTCTGTCTGTCACCTCTAGAGTGTCAGCGTCTTGAAGGTGGGATCTTGTCAGGTTCACCCTTTGCTTCCCAGCACACCACAGTGCCTGACACATAGTAGATGCTCAATAAATATTTGGTTGGATGGATGAATGGATGGATGGATGAATGAATGAATGAAAGAAACCCCATTTCCATTTCCCGGTTTACAAATGACATTCTCAATGTCTTTGTCTTTAAAGTTTTGAGA